TATTCAAAAGAACTGTCCACGCCCAAGACTAAAGGAAAAGAGATGTCAACTGACCAGATGAGAAACACCAGCAACCAGAGTCCACTTTGACATCCTGCCCAGTTTGATGCTGCTGCTAAAAGATTTCCTGATTTGTCAAACCGATGCTAAAGTAGAACTTTACATGATGCTCCACATTCCTCATTTTAGGGAAGAATTGTCATAAAATATAACCTTATTCTTGTAATATTACGACTTTATTCTAGTTAATTTACAACTTTGTTCTCATAATCTTATGACTTTGTTGTTGTTGTGACTTTATTCCCGTAATTTCGACTTTATTCTCGTAATGTTACGACTTTATTTTTGAAAAAAAAAAAAAAAAAAAAAACAATCTCTAGCCTGGCCCTTATACTCCGTCGTGAACTAGCCTTTGGTTAAAAGTGCGGAGGTATTCTATTTAAGCTAGGTTAAGCTAGCGAGCTATTTGCTAACTGTGCTTTGTATAAAATATTGTGTGCTAACATAGAACAGAGACTGGGTGGAGGGTTTTTATTAAGCTGGTCAAAAATTTTCTTTAACATATTTGTTTTGTTTTGCTCTGAATAACATTTAAATCGTTTAAAACCTGTAACCTTTATAATGAAAATGTATAGCTTTAGTGATTATAAAAGCCATTGCTTATCATTTTAACCACATGGCAATTAGCATAAAGCTAAAAATACAGAAGAATTCCACCTAAGCTAGGTTTTGTAGCCATTTGCTAACCATCTTGCGTAGAATCCTGCTCTTTGATGAAGTGATATTTTAAGTTTTTGAGAGACTAAATCAGTATTTATCAGATTGGAATATCCCTATAAAACTATTTAATCTTCTAATAAGACTCTTTAAAGCCAACAAAACTGAGCTTAAAGCTAGCTTAATTGTTTATAACTTCCTGTCTTTTAAATGTTTTCCTCTATTTCTAATAATCTTCAAACTTTATATAAATTAGATATTTAAAACAGAATTACTGCGGAACTGTTTGGGGACATTCTGGTGCCTTTGTTGGACTGAGGAACAGAAGATGGCGGCGTATGTAAAACCTTCAGTGTGCGTGGGTGTACTCCGTGACGTAGCTAGTTAGCAGGCAGATAACAGCGATTATTACTTCTGTTCATGTATAGAAAAAAATCCCCCATTGATCTGTAAGTCTCTGAAGCTGTGCAGATGTTTGGTTTTTTTTATTAAAAGTGTGACTGTGATCATGTTAGCGGGACGCTACTTTAATTAGCCAACAGGCCGACATCTCAGACGTGTTTCAGCTCATTTTGCTATACGTGGTATCAGGCTATTGTGGTTATCGTTGGAATGATTTGGGCCTTCCATCATCCTTCTGCCTTGTAATATTTGTTTTTGTATGTTTAAATATGTATGTTAATAATTTTTATCGTCAATGGACAAACTTGACCTGCGTGCTTTGTCTTTCTTTCACGGTAGTTTCCTTTCAGCCTTAGCCTAAGGCTAGGTCCAAACCTAAGCCTTAGGTCCAAACCGAAAACCATGTTCAACCATGTTCTGGAACCAGGGGTGTAACCAGAATATTATTTTTTGGGGGGGCCATCATGGAGCAAAGAGGTAGCGAGGGGTGGCCAACAAAAAATAACTTTTATAAACTAAATGCAGGACACAAGCCTTCCTGCTTCGAAATTTTTTACAGAAATTGAAGTTTTGAAAATAGTTGATGGTAAT